ATCATTTCAGTACTGGAAATGAACAGCCTTGTACAGAGAGCTCACACAGCTCAGCCCCTGCTTTGGGAAGAGAGGGCACTGAGGAGCTAGAAAGGGTCCTGGAGAAACCCGGCTCTTGCCCCCTTCGTTACTGGAAGCTCTAGTGCCACCCTCAGCAGCAATGTTCCGTTTTCCAGAAAACTTCCTGAACAAGTTCATACTAGTCCCTAACAGGAGCTGCCACACGCTTCCTCCGCCCCTGCCAGCACGAACTTGCACAGGGTGCCCTCTGCATAACACCCTCATCCTACAGCAGAGACCTTCGGTGAACAGCCCTGAAGCCTGCAACACAACCCTAACAGCACTGATTGCTGATTAAGGGTATGTCCCTTCAGACTGGGAACATCGTTCCACGATCCCCACCTTCCACAGCTTCCCTGGCGGTCCTGGAAGGATGTTTGGCAGCTGTGCTGCTTGAATCAGAATCTTTTAGGTTGGAAAAGGCCTTTAAGGTCATCCAGTCCAACCGTTAACCCAGCACTGCCAAGCCCACCACTGACCCATGTCCCTGAGCACCACATCCACATGCCTCTTAAACCCCTCCCGGGATGGTGATTCCCCCGCTCCCTGGGCAGCCCCTTCTAATGCCCGACAACCCCCTCTGTGAAGAAATCTTTCCCAACACCCAATCTAAACTTCCCCTGGTGCAACTTGAGGCCGTTTCCTCTCGCCCTGTCACTTGCGTGCATCAGCCTGCAGCAGCCCCACGTCTGCTGCTCACTGCTGCTTCTCCCTCCCCTGCGGCCGCAGCCTCGTGCCCTTGGCGAAAGCCGGTGGGCAGACCCTGCCTTTCCCCCGTGGCTGCACAACTTTTCACCACACACAGCGGGGCTGGTGCGAAAAGGGAGGTGGAAACAGCTTAAACCTGCTCTCTCGGGGGCAAAATGCCCGGCGGCGAAGCCGACAGTGACACGGGCCTGCAGGGAGGAACGCCAGGCTGATGAAGACGTGAGCCTTCTAATGCGGACAGCACGCTCTCTGCTCCGCCTGCGCACTGCAAGCGACCTCATTAAGAGCACATTCAGCAGAACGCATCACCGCCTAACTGGTAACTGCGAGACCGGCCTTGCGCTGTAGGAGCGCTGGGAAAAAGTGACACTGCTGCCTCGGGGGAGCTTGCCCAGTCCTTGACTGCTCAGCCTGCCCTAGCGCTTCCTTCTGTTTCAGGCATCCCGAGCTAACAAACGAGGAAATCCCTAGATTTCTTGACGTTAATGCTCTGATGTTGTTACCTTGGAGATGGGATTCCTTAGAGATGAAATGGGAACAGAGACAGCGTAGAGCCGGGCAGGGAACGGAGGCCGAGTTGGGTTTACTTTAAGGATGCCTTATCCTGTTGTGAATGCTCGGAGCGGCTAGGATTGTAACACCCGTCTCTCCTACTTGGCAGATGACACACAGCAGCATTGTGTGCTCGACAATCAGCCCTTGAAGTCTAGACATCTTGCACAGAGGGATTTGGATAGGGATCATTACTCTAAGCCACAGAAGAAAGAGGTCCCCAAAACCTCATCTGGAATCCAGAGCAGGACAGGAAGCCCATTAGATTTAAGATATAACCCCCTCTAAAGTTCTCTGTAACATAGGGAGAGCAAAGAAAGGCTTCCTTCCCCTTCTTCCACCTGCAACAGCAGCAGATCACACACTCACTTAGGCTGTATTAGCTGTAGTGGATTCCCATTTCCCATGCCCAAATCAGCTTAATCGGGGAATCCAGGTGTGGACAAGCTTAACACAGACCCTGCTACACCTCCAAGGAAAGTACCCTTACAAGTTCCCATCCCTGTCCCAACCAGACCAGCGTCAGGAGGGCTGAGGTTTGTAGGAGGTTTGCTGCAGACGGGAGTCAGGACACCATGTTCAGGAGAGATGAGCAGCTGTGGGAAAGGCACCAGCCGCTGCCTGGGATGTCTCTGCGGCGCAGTTCCCAGCACTGCACATACCAGCAGAGCTGGTGCAGCAGCGTGCCCTGCCCGTCAGCCACCTCCGCTCGCAGCCTGCGGCAAAGCCCCGTGGCTTTCCCGACTTCCTCCTTCAAAGGACACCCAGCGTCCCACCCGCAGGCACTGTGCTTGGAGGCAGCCTTGCCAAATAGAGCCTATCCCCGATTCCGCAGGGTCAGCCTGAAAACCACATGCCTCAGATGACTGCTTCCCTCTTCCCTTCAAAGCAAATCCTTAAACGGAAAGAGCCAGCTGTGAAGTGTTATCGCCAAGTTTTTTGGCAGAACACTGGTCCTTAGCATGCCAGTCACAGCCGAGATGGAGCCAACCTGCTGCTAATGCATTATTTACCTCATCTTTATCTCCCTGAAACAGGAGCTCCTGTCTGGAGCGAGCCACATGCCCACTAATCAGCAGAAGGGTTTCTTCCAGCACCGTTGAACCAACCCCTCCCGAACACGGACCCTGTCCGCGCACCCAAGAGCTCTTTACCCAAAACACTCTCACAGCAACGTGCAGGGAACAGTGACGTTTGGGGAAAAGCAACACCCCCACAACCCGCCAGAGCCCACCGAGGGCAAGTTTTAATCGCTTGTTCTCTCATCACAGACTGCTCTCCCCCACAGAAAAATTAAACCTCCACGAGTTTGAATCCAAAATAACTTCTGGAATAAAAGGTGGAAGCATGGGAGGAGAGATAAAGAAACAGCCTAGCCCGTGCCCAAGATGTGAAGCACTTCCCCATGGCGAGGGCAGGGTGTCATGGAGCGTCACACAGCTCGGCGGGAGCAAGGCAGCCGCCCAGGGCATGCGGGAAACTTTCCGCCTCTTCAGCCGCGGCAGGATGGGCCAACAGGAGACAGGGGCATCAGGTGCCCAGTTTACACTGGCTGGGACAGCCTGACGGCCTCCGTGGGAGGGGGGAAGGCACGTTTCCAGCTCCGTTTTATTAGTGCTGGTGCTGAGTGAGTAAGGAAGGTAATTAAGTAGCCTCCATCCGAGAGCCCCGATACCCTCTGAAAAATGAAAGAGCAAGCAGCAAGGCTGTTTGACATCACACAGCACATCTGGCCAGGCTGACCTCAAAGTCAGGGGTTCCCGGGAGGAGAGGGGCTACCACAGACACACGCACAAGGGAAGAGGTTTTAGCAGTACAAGTAAGCAATAAAATTGTCTTTCCCCTGAAAAAATCCATGCCCAAATTCACAGGCATTTAAGACAGACTGCCTTTAGGTGAAGGAAGAAAACAAATCCAGCAGGCATCCCGGATACCACCACCCTCCGCCGCTCCTTGGCCACCCACCCTCTGACGGCATTAGGAGTCAGTCACGTAGGGAGCGAATGCATAAGCTCTCCTAACTTCTCTCTTTTTGTTCCATTTTGCAATGCTGAATTACAACCAAATGACTACACTGAAGTCGAAAGGGAACTACACGGTTTGGCCAAAGAGGAAACAAACCCAGCACTGTATGAGGCAGCGAGACGACAAGGATCCCTACGTGCTGTTGGTTCAAACATGGTGCCGTGGTTTAATTTAACTAAATTAACCAAAACCAGCACACGGACAGGAGCACTACTGCTTAGGAACCCGCTGTAACAGACACAATAGAACCAGGACCAGAGGCCTGTTACAGCTAAGGACAAGAAAAGAAACAGCTGGACACAGGCAGATAATACTCCAGCAGCCTAACAGCTCTGTGCACTGCTGGCGCGCTCAAAACGCATTTCAAACAGCTCAGTAAGTGCTACACAACGTATACGTTTATTACAGTAACACTAGCTGCATCCTCACCTACACCTTCTAAGGCTAACAAGGCCCTGTGTTTTTAAAAGAATGTCTAACTTAGCTGGCAAAGAGGAAAAAAAATCCCAAACTAGGTGCCAGTGTGGCAGCAACGAGACATGATCAGCAGAGACATCGGTGAGAAGTGTGGCCACTGCTCATACCAAGCACATCACGTAGCCTGGCACGTGCTACACGGGGAAGGAGGGAGCTTAAGGTTGCAAAGGGAAAACACGCCGGAAGAAACAGACTGCCCGGCGCACCTACAACAGAGACGTAGCAAGCCGGAGGAGAGGCTCAGAGGTTTTGAAAACCCAGACTAGAGACTGAGAGTCATTTGCAATGCTGGGAATGACGAAAGCTCAAAACCCACACATACCACTGCTGTCCCACTATCCCTTGGCTACAGCTGACGGGATACACCACAGCACGGAAGTGATGACAGCTAGTGATTTCCATGACGATTTGTGAATTCCTACCCCATCCTCTGTAGGCCACGGTTAAGTTAAGGTTCCCCACGTAGATGTAGGTGAATGTCTCAAGAGTCTTAACGAGTTTTGCCTATGTAAAACAAGGGTTTAAACAAAAAGGAAGTACTTTATCCACAGAGCATAAGAAAGGCAGCACTCCCTGCCATCACGTGGGCCAGAAGTCCAGCCACGACTGTTAAACACGATGACAGCATCTCGGACTACAAGGGTAGTACTGTGCAAAGGAAGGATCTCTACTCTTTCATCCCTTTTCCTCTGGCAACTGCTGTGATCACCATTAAAATGGAAACAAACTACCTTGGCTTCTCCTCTGAGAAACAATGGCTGTTGTAACGCGATGCTGGCATGAGACAATCCTCTCCCATGGGCACTCCCCACAGCAAACACAAATGGGAAACTGAAACACACTCGAAACCCGGGGCAGGTCAAAGCAGCTGGCATGAGACAATCCTCTCCCTTGGGCACTCCCCACAGCACAACACAAATGGGAAACTGAAACACAAACTAGGCTGACGCGAGCTGACTCGAAACCCGGGGCAGGTCAAAGCAAACAAGAATTCGTTCACGAGTCCAAGGTTGGCCTTCCAACCGGGACACTCTGACACTGGACTCCAGACCTTACGGCTGTGAAGAATTATTAAACAGCAACATTGCAAACACGTTATAGGCACAGAAATGCCTATTTGCATATCTGAGCAGCCTTTTGTCCTCCCCCCTTTAAACACAAAGCGCTAGATGACTCACCTGTCAGAATAGTCTGGAAAGCTGCTTCCACATTTGTGGAGTCTAAAGCAGACGTCTCGATAAATGACAAACCGTTCTTCTCTGTGTGGACAGAAATACTATAATTAGAGGGGCACGTTATAGGCACAGAAATGCCTATTTGCATATCTGAGCAGCCTTTTGTCCTCCCCCCTTTAAACACAAAGCGCTAGATGACTCACCTGTCAGAATAGTCTGGAAAGCTGCTTCCACATTTGTGGAGTCTAAAGCAGACGTCTCGATAAATGACAAACCGTTCTTCTCTGTGTGGACAGAAATACTATAATTAGAGGGGCGTATCACGTATTGCATCATGTAGCTGTTTCCCACCTGGAAGAACTCCTGTCCCAGATTATAGTAGCAGTGTTCCTGATGAGCACGGGAATCAAAAAAGAGTGTAGGAAGTTGTGGGTCTGTCACCCATACGTGATCTGAAGGCAACACCAGCATTTACACCCCTCCCCAAGCACAGGGATCAGTCCAGTGCTCTGTCACTTCGAGACACATCTTCCCACACCGCTGAAAGTGAGAATTTGATGCACTTTCAAGAATTGTGTGAGGAAGCTTCCTGGGTTTTCTTTCACCTCATCAAGCTTCTCCACCTTCCACCTGCTGGTATGTCACAGCAGGTTATTTAACAGGGCTAGCCTCATCAGGGGAGCGACAGTCCTCTACTCGCAAGCAGGGATTCTCACTGGCCATAAACTCTGCAGCTACAGCAAGTCTCAACCTAAGAAACCCAGGTACACTCCTAGATGAAAGAAATGTGGCCTAAACCAGGCAGGATTTACAGAAACTATAATCATTTTTCACAGATCCTGATTACGTCACAAAAGTCAAAGACATTTTAGCGAAAGTCTGTTCAGCCACGGGCATCTGCACAGGGCTCCAGCTCAGTACAAAGAAGGTCATATACAGGTGCAGAGCTCCCACCAGACAAGAAACTCAACACCTGAAGCCATAGGCACAGTTTCTGCGAGAGAAGCAATGCACAGAGCAAGAGAGTAAGTCTGGTTTAAAATCTTCCTAGTGCCTCTGGCTCATTCTTGAATCCACATCAGCACTCATGTGCTACAAAGCTTCCTTTCTGACTGAATTCAAGAGAGGCAAACACCAGTATGTGACGCTAAGGCACATCACCAGCAGCACTCTCTCCTGCTACCAGCACACTCACACATCTAAAACCAGACAGGCAGATCTCCAGACAGCATTAGCAAGTTATTTTGAGTTCACCAACCTGCAAAAGCTCTGGCCTCATCTGTAGGAACTGCTCTCAGGTGGCGCAAGTCGCTCTTGTTTCCCACCAGCATGATTACAATATTGCTGTCAGCGTGGTCTCTCAGCTCCTTCAGCCATCGCTCCACATTCTCGTAAGTAAGGTGCTTGGCAATGTCGTACACCAGTAATGCCCCTACAGCTCCACGATAGTACCTGCGGGTGTAGAGACACGTCAGAGAACCAGCAAGAAATGCCGTGATTAAAAGTGACAAGTGACTGTGCAATGATGGGAAATAAAGGCAGCGATATAAAAAAACACCCAGAGGCTGGCAACGTAGGACTTGCAGCAGTGAATTAGAGCATCCAGACTTGGGTTATGCCACAGGACCCCCAGAGCAGGTGGTCTGAGGACAGCTTAGAGTCCAGAGGATAAGCCAAACCCCATGCCTGTGGGGAGAACCCTGCATCCCACCGATGAAGCTCTGGAATCCGTGGGGAGCTACTGTCACCTTCAAGCTCTGACCCACTCCTGAGAAGTCTCCCCCACCCATCACTGTGGGTGCAGTATGGGCACAGCCCGTAGTGATAGACAGACTTTAGAATGACTCACTGGATCATAAAAATGACAGCCTGACCTATTCCCTTTCCAAAAGGCCACAGCTGGTCGGCTTTCAGACCAGAGCGGGGCAGAGCAATGCATTCAGAGAGAAACAGGTTGTGTTCTCCCACTCCACAGTTACCTGCAGCTTCACTTAAACCCAGCTTTTGCTATGCCCTTGTTTGCAATTACACAAGCAGAGTGAGCAGTCTTCCCTTACTGCTGCGGCAGGGCTTCTGGGCTTAGGTTACTGCTGTGAAATCTCCGTGAACACAGATATTACTTTATCAATTGTTCCACTTAAACGCAGCTTTTGCTATGCCCTTGTCTGCAATTACACAAGCAAGCAGAGTGAGCAGTCTTCCCTTACTGCTGCGGCAGGGCTTCTGGGCTTAGGTTACTGCTGTGAAATCTCCGTGAACACAGATATTACTTTATCAATTGTTCGCACTGAAATGAGTCTCTCCAAGCCCTTGCATTCCAGGTTTGAAGTGCCTCCAGTTACACATCACGAGCACTGAGAAGTAAATCAGTTTGTACAGGGACACACTATATCAAGTTGCCTGACTGAATAATATTTAAGCTACCTTCCGTCATAGGTTGTGGATATTACACAATATAATATAAACACCCCTCGTGCTTGCAGATTCTGAGGAATCAAAATGCCCAAAATTACCCTCCTCAGCAAAAGTTTCTCTTCAGCCACACAAGGTATCACTTACGCTGATGTTATCGCTCGGTATCGCTCCTGCCCTGCTGTGTCCCATATCTGAGCCTTTATTGTCTTCCCATCCACTTGAATGCTCCTTGTTGCAAACTCTACTCCAATGGTGCTTTTGCTTTCCAAGTTAAACTCATTGCGAGTGAATCGAGACAGGAGGTTACTCTTGCCTACGCCAGAGTCTCCAATAAGTACAACTGCAAGACAAAAATGCCGTGAGAATCAGTTTCCAGAGCTAGACAGTACATTGACAATCACCTGCAAGAAACACGAATTTTCCAGAACGAAGCATGAAGGAAAAGAGTGGCAAAGCCACCACCCTTGTTAGGAGTCAACTGTCCAAGTCAGAGTATTTCTAGAGACCAAGAGCTGCCACGTTCAGCAGCATCCATAACAGACGTTAGACTTGACTATCTCCTTTGCCCAACATGCAAGAACATTCCTTCTCCAGGAAGACTACACATGGCTGTCACTGCAAAAGCTGGGGACAGCTTGGGTGTCATATTCTTGTAACAACACTAGAACTAAAAAACAAAACCCCCACACCATGCAACTGAAACCTGTTTTGCTCAAGCAGCCCAAAACACAGGGCAGGCAGCAGACTCCACCTGCATTTTACACTCTCCATATGTTTGCAGGAGAGAGGTTCCCCACTGGGGAGGAAAAAATTTGTGACTGGGAAAAAGAACTAAACAAAAAAAAAACCACAGCAGACCACCATCACCCTGACGGACAGTTAAAATTATCAGCTGAGCTACAGCACTCTGCCCTTCATCAGCCCGTCACTGCTGACGACACTTCTGGGCACTTCAGGCCAGGGCCTCAAACTGCTCTAAAACGCTGCCAGCGTATCGTGGGGCCTCAGCATCAGAGCCACCATCGACCCCTTCCCTGGCTCAGCCTGACTCATCACCGCAGCAGTGCTAAGCAAACCGACTGGAAGGCTTCGGCTGCGCTTGACAAGATCGACAGAAGGTTTAAAGTCCGGTTCCTAGAGGAAGAGAAGCGTCATGAGGATTTGCTGCAACATCCTGTAATGCTGAGTTGAAAGGTACAAGTTTAACTTAAAACTCCCTACCAAGACGCAGGCCACTGGCTAAAACACATTCACAACCCTGCACCAACAGGGCTCGGGATGATCTTACGGCCTTAACGAAGGTAAGGTACTGAACTGGAAATGGAAGAGGATGAGCAACATCCTTCAGAAGAAAGGCTGATGACTTGAGTTTGGCAGCGAATCAAGGCCAGGCCAAGCAAAAGAGTGAACGCCTAGGTGACAATAAAACGTTGTGGCTGTGCTTGTTTTGAAGAAATCCGTAACTACTTCCTCAGTAACATACATCAGTTAACAGTTAAGACACTAACAGCGTGTTAAATATTCTGTGTGGTGCAACAGAGGAATGATTCCACCAAACACTTCAATCACAAGAGAAACCCCTCGCTGAGTCTTAGCCTAGCAGTGCAAACACTCCCATCTGCTGCTGCACCACACAGCAGCCCCCTGAACACCATCTTCCGCCTCAACAGCGCAAACCAGTTCTGACAAACGGGATTTTTCTGGCTGTAAGGGCAGAGAAGCACCTTTTAAACACCCTCCACAAAATGAAAATTGCAGCAAATGCTAGCTTCAAACATGGCCTTGTGGAGAACACTTCATCAAAACAAACATCTTCCCAGCCTCCCCCGCCAGCTGACTCAGCGTGACGCCGGCCAAGCGACACAAGTTGCATAAAGCACCGAGCAGCTCCCTTAACCACTTCTGTTTCTGAAGATCACAAGTGCAGGTAGGTGGCCAGCACGGACGCTGAGTGCAAATAGCATTCTGCTTTCCTACGTGACAGGTCAGCGCTGCTCGGTGGCAGCTGCCACCAACAGCTTTGCTGGCACAGAAGATGCTAAACCCTAATAAACTTAGCGCAGGGGACAGGCCACCTCGTGTCATCACCACATGGCAAACTGCCACCGCTTTCCTCTTCCACTGGTTAATAAGTTCTTTAGTACTATTTTGGCAGGTTTAGGCCACGGTTGTAGATGACATCATATCTGTAGTCACTGGGACACGCTACAGACAAGTTCCTAGGAGGCAAGTTGTCAACTCCCTTCGCACACTCGGCCCTGCTACCACCCAGTATTTGCTTTGGCAAAGCCCAAAAACACTGGGCAAGGAAAGAAAATGACATGCATAATTTCCTTTTCCCAAGAGGACACATTATATACCTGTTAAATATTCCCCCTCGAACATACTCTCGTCATTCAGTGCGTATTTCAAAGCACAGCTTTAAGTCATTTAACAATAGATGGATCACTTGAATTCCTCTGCCAGGTTTTATTCTCTTCCTTACCTCGTCTGAATCCCATGCTGCTTATGCTCTGAATGGTTTCCAGCACCAGATTAATATGACCCAATTAAAAGGGGAAAATATTAGAATTTCCTCCTTGAAGCCAGCTATTTCCTCCGCTTAACTGGGCCATCGCAGCTCCTCGTGAACACGGACACGAGAACAGCTTGCAATGTCAGCAGGCACCTACGACTCCTCGCACTTTCTGCATTCCTGAAAAAACGCAAACCCAAACCCAGCCACTCAGATTGTATTATTAGTTTGAATTTTGCTTTCCTTATCACTTCACCTCATTTTATTAATTCATACTACACAATGTTACCATGTATTACATTCTTCGCATAGAAACACAGTAGGAATGACCCTGGATGGCCGAGCCCCATTCTAACTCTCCCAGGCAAACAGTTGCTGGGAGGGAAATGACGTTATCTGGTTCCACGTTAAAGCTAATTGTTCCTGCACACACACTTTTATCGGGCTTTTTTTCCAGAAACTCACTCCTAATGGTTAGAAATTGCATTCTAATTTCCAGAAGAAATTAGCGGTCAGCTGATGGTGGTGTTCATGTGCCAGCACCCTCCATTAGCTTATTAGTTTCTTCTCCCAGTGGTGTTTATGCTGGGGTATTTACAGAAAGCAACCACATGGTCTCTCAGCTTTGTTCTACTACCTAAATAAGCCAGTGTTTCCTTATAAACAGACTGTCCATTTCCCCAAACATCTTCCCTACTCAGTTTCCTTTTCACACAGTGTAAAGAACCACACACGTCATTCTAGGGGAGATCTCCCTGTGATGTATGCAGGGACTTCAATATTTCCATCCCTACTAGGCACTCCTTGGGCTGGAATTATCTTCTCCTGACCATATCCCCTCAGTGGCTCAGCCTGTCTGAGGTCTGACCTGAGCGTTCTGGCTTTTAGTCGGCAAGCTGTTACTTTACCCAATTCCTGAGTCCTCAAGGGTAAACCGAAATCCCACTCCATTTGGAGGACTGCAGTCCTCACCAGCACGCAGCCCTCCCAGCGCTGCACTCCGACTCCCTCCTGTACCACCCAGCCTCGCGCCATCAGCAAAATACTGGACTACATCAGCACGGGAAGGAGGGACGCCTGGAAGAAACATTTAAGCAAGTTCAGCTTTAAATCACTGCGTTTGACTACCTTGTCTAAGACACACACTGAAGTCCACGCTACTGTATAAATTCCACTGTGTAATTCCAGCTTTATTTCTGCAGAAGACCAAGATAAGAATTCAATTTCCGAAGTTGCATGAAAAGCAATTTAGAAAACTACATCAAGAAAGTATTAATAATCTTTTCACCAACATTCCCGCTCACTCACCCAATTTTTATTTCTCTTAAACCTCTTAGTTGAGATTTTTAAAAAAATGCTTTATCTCATTAAATGTTATAGACAACCTAATCAGGTTCAAAATAAACAGTCCGGCACCACTAACTTGTGCTGTCTATGGTAAAAGTGACAACGAGCTGCATATCCAGAATTTAAAACAAGTACACCAGCACTAAGGGATCACAGCGTCTGAAAACTCACCTCTTATAGCAGGGCTCAAGGCAGAAATACATAAATAAAAAGCCTGGACACCTCTTCATGACGCCCAGGACCTGATGATGAACACCTCTTCCTCCCCACACGATCGTGTCTTGCATCTGTCTCCCTCCTCACCTGAGCCCTGTTTTATTCACCCATTTTCTGTCACAATGAGACCTGGCATCTCAAAGGCACTTTCGGGTAGGGGTTGTTCGTTACCTGCACGCACAACACGTGAGGCAGAGCTGCACCTCCAAACGCCCCGGCAGTGAAACGGCTAAGCCGGCAGGTTTATTGTAGCCCAAAAGTGCTTCCACATCTAGTGCCGGGCTTGCTACCACTCTAAAAAACAACAGGTGTCATGCAATCACTTTTCCCTAATCTAAACAAAGCACACAAGGAAACAATGTGTTTTCTAAACCCCAAACCCACAGGTTTGTTCAATTTCAGAGCATTTCCTCAATATCAAAGGGAAAAGTTGGAGAAATGAACAAGATGCAAAGTAGGAAGCAGCTAGTGGAAATGGGTTTTCCTAATGATAAGCTGAATGTCACACCAAGTCAGGCCCATGATCAGAAATGAGAAGTCTGACCCCAAATCCAGAGTTCCAGATGGTCAAGGTGCAGACGTAACCCCCTCAAACTCGGTCCATTTAAAACACAGAAGACATCTTCGACAAGTGATGGTTACTTTGAGAACTATTCATTACTGCGAGCACACTGCTTTCATCGGAGCAAAATGCTCCTGTGTTTAAGCCAGGCTAAGTTATTTAATAATTAAATCTTTATACCACTATCACCTTTTCCTCTCATTAAAATTAGAGCAAGATTTCTACAAACTGGTGTCAACTAAACCCAAAAAGTGTGGAAGAAGACAATGATGTGTAGCTGGACAAGAAGAATTCACCAGAAATTGTCTTTTTACAAGCTAGGCTTAGGCTTTAGCACATGCTGAACTGTTGCAACAGTCAGGAGAGGGGTATTTTGTAACAGGTTGTGATTTAATGGCCTGGCAGCACAGGTGGGCTCGGCTTACACCCCCCAGCAGTCAGGCAGATTGTGACATACAGCTCTGGCCAAGAGGACAAAGCCAGCAGTCTCTCATCAACAGAACCGTGGCAGTTTAACTCGAGAGCAGTAAAAGACAGCTAGACCAGAGAACATTACCCCACTATTTCAAACCAAGTCAAACTCTGAACTCGGTCCCACCCACCTACCGTGTCCCTTCAAGTTCATAAACCCACAAGAACAGTTCTACTGGATTAAGTGTCCTTACGGACCAACACCCAGCCTGACAGTCAAGAGCTGATGT